AAAAGGCAAGAATTTTTTTTTTTTTTTTTTGAGGGGTTTGGTACTGGAGCTTTAAATTCAGGGCCTTGTGCTTGCTAAGTAGGCTCTCTAACACTTGAGCCATACCTGCAGCTTCCTTCCCCCCTTTTTGTGGTACTTGATTTGAACTCGGGGGCCTACACCTTGAGCTACTCCGCCAGCCCTTTTTTGTGTTGGGTTTTTTCAAGTTAGGGTCTCACTATTTGTCCAGACCTCTAGACCTTTGTTGCTTTAGTTATTTTTCAGATAGGGTTTCACATTTTTTGCCCTGGCTAGTCTGGACTGGAATCCTCCTACTTACATCTCTTGTGTGGCTGGAATTATAGATATGTATCACCATGCCCAACTTCTTTGTTGATATGTGGTCTCACTAACTTTCTGTCCTGATTGGTCTCTTGATGGTGATCCTCCTGATACCAGTCTGCTTTCCAAGTAGCTGTGATTACAGCTATGAGCCACCATGCCCAGCATTTTAAGAATCATTGTAATCTAAAAGGTTTTTCTTTTTCCCCTTGTATTTCACATGTGTTTCAGAGATCTGGTGAATCATTCAGACCAAATTCATTTTTGAAAGTTTTGAGTGTCTAGTAATGTCTGGAAGAGGTGAAAGATATGATGTTCAGAATCACAGTTGATTTAACTAGGGAAACTCCTGAAATAACTGGTGTAGAGAGTTCTCCATGAGTAGAAGACTGATTATTCATGTGTTACCATATGCCACGCTAGATTGGGAGCAAGACTTCTACATAGTGAAGAAGTGAGAAGACTATCGTGTGAAGTGATTGTTTAATAATTTACTGTAATTAAGGGTTTCCTAGCTGGGTATGGTGGTGTACATCTGTCATCCCAGTACTGGGGAGGCTGAGGCAGGAGGATCATGAGTTTGAGGCCAGCCTGGGCTACACAGTAAGACACTGTCTCAAAAAAAATCCAAAAGTTAAAAAAAAAAAATAGAATTTTCTTTTTCCCCATAATCCATTTAATATAAGTAATTTTTCTGCAGGGTAAATTTTATTATATAGAAATTGTCTTTGAAATATATATATATATATATATATATATATATATATGTGTGTGTGTATATATAGTAAGGTGTTAATTTCAGTAAAGGAATTTCTCCAGTCGTATCAAATGTCCAGTTTGTATAATATGATACTAACCAGTTCAGTGCAAGCCAAATTTTAAAAATACTGAAATCAAATTTTTAAAAATGGCTTAAGTTTGATATATAGAAGGAATTTTTCTTTCCTAAAGCTGAAAACTGATGAGAATAAACCTTATTACGAATATTGTTTCTGTATCACCTATCACTCACAGAAAGTGTTTTGTTATTGTTGTGATGGGGTCTCTCTACATTGCCTAGCCTGGCCTCAAACTCTTGGGCCAAACCAGTCCTCTTGCCACTGCCTCCTGAGTAATTGGAACTATAGACATGAACCAGTGTGCCTTACTGAGAGATTTTTTTTTTTTTGGTGGCACTAGGGTTTGAACTCAGGGCCTCATGCCTGCTAGGCAGGGACTCTACCATTTGAGCCACTTTGCCATCCTGAGAGATTTTTTTTTTAAGTTACTAAAAGTAAGAGAGATAGAATGAATTCTTTAGGTTAAGTCTACCTGAGCATAAGGAATAATAGGCTGTGATCTTTTGGAATATCTTTTAATATATAAATTTTTAAATTTTATAAGTTTAATTTTATAGCATTATTTCTCAACTCCTAGTGTAGTATATAGGAAGTACTTAATGTGTTAATCTGCAAGTTCTATATTAAGTTGAGCCATATGAAATTGCCAATAATAATTGCCCTCTCCCCCTTTTTTTAAATCTACAGAAACTACAATTTCATGTGATTCAGTCTAATTCTAACATCAATTTGATTTGGAAATCACTTGATTGTTCTTTCTCTGGATGATGTTCTATTGATTTAGAGTACAAACATTATTTTGTGTTTGTAAGTTAGTGGTTACTTTTTATACCATTCAGTTTGAAATCAATTTTGAGCAAATAGACAGTAACTTACTTGATCAGTTAACAAGGAAGGGGATATTAAGGAAGAGGGAAGTATTTACAGTGATGTTTAACTTAAATTTATAAAAGTTTTCTTGTTTGAAACTTTCTTTTGACTATTTCTTCAAATGAAACATTGGAGTTCTTGGTATATATAGTAGTTTATAGTTCTGTGGATAATGTATATGAGAATGTTAAAGCACATTCATTCAAGAGAATATGTGTATCCTTCAATTTGGGAATTGTAATTTTACTGACTTACTGTAACCAACATTTTATTTGTATTCAGTGTGTTTTATTGTATATGTGTGTGTGTGTATATATATATTTATATTTACAGTGCATATATTTTTTGAAAGGGGTAACAATGAACAGTTTTGATAAAGTGTCTACTTTCTGAAGTAACACAGTTTTCTTTTTTAGTGCCACCATGGCAACTGCACCATACAACTACTCTTACATCTTTAAATATATTATTATTGGTAAGTTTATTTAACTTACACTCTTGTTCCTTAAAGAAGGTTAACATACAAAACATTTATATACTAACACTTAAACATATCACTCTGAAGAAGTGAGTGATTTTTCTCACTTCTGAAGCAAAGTTGCTTTTATAAGGATAAAGGTACCTTTTGCATTTTGGCCCTGGGTACTTCTACTGTGTAGTGCAGGGCACTAGTGAAGTGATATTCGTTGTTCTTGAAGGCTATTTTAAAGCTTGCTAATTCTGGGAATGAAGTTAACTTCCTCGTAGTGCTGAAATATTCCAAAAGTTTTCATGAAGAGTCTCTCAGGTCTCCCTGAATTCCAGAACTTGCTAGAGAATATTGTTTGATTCAAAATAAATTGTGTAATGCACATAAAGCGTAATATTGGCCTTTTTCCCATTAAGTTTCAAAAGGAGTTTGCTCAAATTAATTCTTAATGCTGTTTGTCCATGCATAGTTGTAAGATTATAGTTGAATGAAAGCTCACATGCTTTTCAATGAATTCTGCACATTAGAACAGTTCTTATGTTGAGCTTTCATGGCTTAGTAATACTTTTTTATGGGTTACAATTGCTGTAGTACAGCTAGAGATGGCTTCTGTTCTGTACAATTTCCAGGTAATGTAAATTCTTTCCTTTCTGGAATTCTACAAGAAATACACAAAATAAGATACAGCAGGGAACTTAGTGAATCAAGCTTCCAAAATTCTATTTATTCTTGCTTGCTTGCTGTATGCTGCCTCATTTGTTGCTCTTTTGCTTCTGTGACAGGTTAAGAGGGGAGGCGGCAAGCTTGAAATAGCTCAAAGTTCAAAGTACCATTATAATAATTTTTCTGTTACAAAGCACCTTTCAGTTGGTGGCTATTTGTTAAACATAATAATTTTACAACCAAACTCTTATAACTGTTAAAGGTTAGGAATGATCAGTTTATATATTGCAGTGAAGACTGACCTACATCTTTTGAATTCATTATAAGGAAGGGAAATACAAGTTTTCTAAGTGTCCTGGAAACTTGTAACGTGATGTGGTAAGGGATATAGAAGTCATTGCATATGATTATAAGAGTATGAAGTTGAGAAATGTAATTGCCACCTGAAACTTTTTTTATTTTTTTGAACAGGGGATATGGGAGTAGGAAAATCTTGCTTGCTTCATCAATTTACAGAAAAAAAATGTAAGTTCAATATTAGTAGCTTTCTGTATTGTCACACTTAGTGACATTACATTAGTAGCTTTCTCTATTGTCACACTTTACCCTTTTTTTTTTAAAGTGTCATTTTTAGTGTACTTTATGCATTTGAATATAACCTTTCCCTATATTTGCACTTATGTCTTTAGGGGCACTGATTACTTTTTTTTTTTTTT